ATCTACATACCACTTGTAGATCGCGTGCGGAAGCTTGCAAGGTGATGATGTAGTCGTACTCGACGTGATCCAAATCACCGATGACCAGCGCCGAACGGACGGCACCTCCGCGTTCAACACACGTACGGGACGGGAGACGTCTCCTCCTTCTTGATCCAGCAAGGGGGAAGGAAAGGTTGATGAAGATCCAGCAGCACGACGGCGTGGTGGTGGATGCAGGGCGTCACAGCAGCAGGGCTTCGTCGAGACTACGAGGGAGAGACGTAACGGGGGGAGATGGAGGCGCCAAGGGCTGGTGTATGAAGTCCCTCCTCTCCCCCACTATATATAGGGGTGCCAAGGGGGGGCGCCGGCCCTAGTAGATGAGATCTACTAGGGGGGGCGGCGGCCTAGGGGAGGTTTCCCTCCCCCCCAAGGCACCTAGGGGTGCCTTCCACCACTAGGACTCCTCCTAGGGGGAAACCCTAGGCGCATGGGCCTATAGGGGCTGGTGCCCTTGGCCCATGAAGGCCAAGGCGCACCCCCTACAGCCCATGTGGCCCCCCGGGACAGGTGGCCCCACCCGGTGGACCCCCGGGACCCTTCCGGTGGTCCCGGTACAATACCGATAACCCCGAAACTTGTCCCGATGCCCGAAATAGCACTTCCTATATATAATTCTTTACCTTCAGACCATTCCGGAACTCCTTGTGACGTCCGGGATCTCATCCGGGACTCCGAACAACATTCGGGTTTCTGCATATACATATCTTCATAACCCTAGCGTCACCGAACCTTAAGTGTGTAGACCCTACGGGTTCGGGAGACATGCAGACATGACCGAGACGCTCTCAGTCAATAACCATCAGCGGGATCTGGATACCCATGATGGCTCCCACATGCTCCTCGATGTTGTCATCGGATGAACCACGATGTCGAGGATTCGATCAAACCCTGTATGCAATTCCCTTTGTCAATCGGTACGTTACTTGCCCGAGACTCGATCGTCGGCATCCCAATACCTTGTTCAGTCTCTTTACCGGCAAGTCACTTTACTCGTACCGTAATGCATGATCCCGTGTCCAACACCTTGGTCACATTGAGCTCAATATGATGATGCATTACCGAGTGGGCCCAGAGATACCTCTCCGTCATACGGAGTGACAAATCCCAGTCTCGATCCGTGTCAACCCAACAGCTACTTTCGGAGATACCTGTAATGCACCTTTATAATCACCCAGTTACGTTGTGACGTTTGATACACCCAAGGCACTCCTACGGTATCCGGGAGTTACACGATCTCATGGTCTAAGGAAGAGATATTCGACATTGGCAAAGCTCTAGCAAAACGAACTACACGATCTTTTATGCTATGCTTAGGATTGGGTCTTGTCCATCACATCATTCTCCTAATGATGTGATCCCGTTATCAACGACATCCAATGTCCATAGTCAGGAAACCATGACTATCTGTTGATCACAACGAGCTGGTCAACTAGAGGCTTACCAGGGACATATTGTGGTCTAAGTATTCACACGTGTATTACGATTTCCGGATAATACAGTTATAGCATGAATAAAAGACAATTATCATGAACAATGAAATATAATAATACTTTTATTATTGCCTCTAGGGCATATTTCCAACAACACGATCACTCAAATACTTAAATGTGCCTTTTTTTAGAATGCCCTACATCAGTAGGCATCCCCAAATACCGGTCACTCAAGGACTCATTTGGGACCAGAAGATGCCCCTTTGATGGCTGTTTTGACAATCTCTGGGGTCTTCTTACTAAAGAAAATTGACGATTTCTCCTTATTAACTTTCTGACCTGAAGCCATGCAATAAGTATCCAACAGGTGTGACACCCTTTCAGCTCCATCAATGCTTGCCCTGAAAAACAGCAGGCTATCATCCGCGAATAAAAGGTGGTTCACCTCCGGAGCCGTCGGTGCTACCTTAATGCCGCAAAGTTGGGATGACTGTTGTTGGGATTTTAATAGGCACGAAAGGCCCTCTGCTGCCAACAAGAAAAGATATGGAGAGATAGGATCTCCCTGACGAATACCACGAGAAGGTCTGAACTCCTCTAACTTACTTCCATTGAACATGACCGAGAAGGAAACTGAGCTCACCATATTCATAATCACTGAAACCCATGGTGCAGCAAAGCCCAGTTTCTCCATGATAGCTTTCAGATAACTCTCCATTCCACTCTATCATGGGCTTTCATCATATCCAACTTGAGAGCACAGTAATTATTGTTTTTGATCTGTTCTTTTTCATAAAATGCAAACACTCATAAGCAGAAATTATATTGTCAGAGATGAGCCTCCCTGGGACAAACGCCGACTGTTCCTCAGATATGATCTCCGGTAAAATGACCTTCAGTCGGTTAGACAGAACTTCTGATGCAATTTTATAAAACACATTACAAAGAGCAATGGGTCGGAATTGTGATAGGAGAGTGGGGTTGGATACCTTCGGTATGAGCACCAGTAGGGTATCATTTACACAGGCCGGACTTTCCTCTCCTCGAACAATTCCCAAAACAGTTTTAGTCACTGAATCACCACACACATCCCAGTGCCTTTGGAAGAAGTGTGTGGGAAAACCGTCCGGACCAGGAGCCTTGGTCGGAAACATTTGGAAGAGCGCAGTTTTGACCTCCTTATCATCATATGGAGCCAACCAGCTGAGCGTTCATGGCTGCTGTCGCCTTGACCGGGACATGTGCTAACACTTCCTCCATACCCTGGACACCTTCTGAAGTGTAAAGAAGCTGGTAATACTCATTGGCAAGTTGTTGCATCTCCGTCAAGCTTTCTGTTACCTGGCCATCCGGCTTTTGAAGCGCCTTAATCAAGTTCTTGCGTCTTCGCATAGATGCCCGAAGATGGAAGAAATGGGTATTCCGGTCTCCTTCTGATAACCATTGTACCCTAGAGCGTTGTCTCCACATTAATTCTTCTCTCAAATAAAGCTCTATCAGACGATCGTTGATCTTAATCTCAACATGACTCGGGCCCGTTCTGATGGGACTATTCCGTAGCCTTTCCAACTCCTTCTTTAGTTTCCGAATCTCTCCACGGACGCTGCCAAAGGTGGTTTTACTCCAGTCCCCAAGATCAGCAGCAAGTGCTTGCAGTTTCGCTCGGACCTCCTGAGCCGTGAGCACTTGATTTTCTGGCTGCCATGATAATCGGATGGTATCTTTTAAATCTGCATGTGTATCCCACATCGTCTCGTACCTGAAAGGCTTCGTCCTTCTGTTGCGTTCTACTTCAAGCTGCAAAAGGATGGGTGAGTGGTCCGAGGTTGCGGCAGTTAAGTGTTTCACTGCTGCAAATGGGAAGAGCTGACACCAATCCGATGTCGCAAGGGCCCTATCCAGCCGGACCCTGGTGTAGGAGCCGCCTGTGACCTTCTTTTCATAGGTCCATCTCGTGCCACTATAGCCCAGATCAAGTAAACCACAGACATCAACTGCATCTCTGAAATTTTCAATCTGCGACTGACTTCTAGTTCCAATGCCATCATGCTCATCATGGCGCAGCACCTCGTTAAAGTCACCAATACAAACCCACGGTAGATTCTCTGTTGTTGAAAGGTTCTTCATAGTGCTCCACGTATGGTGGCGCAGATGAGTCTGTGCCTCACCATAGAAACATGTTAATCTCCAGGAGGAACCCCCCAGATCAGAAATTTTTGCATCTAGGTGGTACTTCGAGTAACCCAAATTTTCAACCTTTATTTCATTGTTCCAAAAAATACATAGTCCACCACTACGACCAATGGGATCAACACCAAAAGCATTATCATATCCTATAGTACCTGCTATTTTTTCAGCTCGAGCTCTACTAATCTGAGTCTCTACAATGCAAAGTACCTTCGGGGCAAACTTGATCGCAAGTTCGCGAAGCTCTTGAATTGTCGGGGCGTTGCCAATCCCCCGACAATTCCAGCATAGAAGATTCATTGGGCCCGGCGGTCCTCCGCCGGGGAGGCCGCCAAACACCCATCATTTGATTTTCCTCCTACTATTGTTTTCTTCATGTTGCTTGAGCTGATCTTGTCCGGCCCCAATCTTTCTCCCTGTTGGCCTGTCCTGACCCTCTTCGGTCTTATTTTGGCGGCGGGCTGATAGGATCACCACTGCCTCCTATGGCTTTTCCCACAGGAACTATTTCCAAGCCAGTAGTTGGAGCTACAACTACTTTGCTGGAATGGCATATAGTACTACTGCTTTGTTTGGGCCATTGGCGTCAAAGGCGAGGAGGGCAGGAGGAGCCAGCCGTTTTGATTAGTCCCACGTCGCCTGGGCAAGGGAGAGAGGGGAAGGAGCTGGGCTACATAAGGGGGCGTAGTGCGAATGGTGAAAGGCACGCAGCTGCATTGTGAGCACAAAGCGAACTATTCTTTCCTTTTACTAAAGAAATACCGTGTGCACGCCACACTAAGCAGCATACCCTAATTTTTTAAGGGTGTCTTTTCTCTGTGAGAAGGCCCCACCAATCCTTAATTTCAAATTTTGTCGCGCATTTTGACAAAATATGGTGATTTTGAAGGTTTTATGTTCTCTTTGATATGCTCTCTTTGAAGGCCCTGTCATTTCTGGACTTCAATTTTTTTTAGCATTTGCTAATTTTTGAAGATTATAATAATCATATTCAACAAGTTTTGGCTGGGCACTTCTATGAGATAAAACCTTGGCATTCCGAAGTTCCATTCCTTCCGATGAGATTGCCTTAAAACTCCAAGGCACACCCGTTCTGTACTTGGAAATTGCATTCTCTCGGAAGTGGAATAAAAAACCAATAAATGAAAGAATTTGTATTGATCTCTGCACTTGTGTCCAATTTGAACATCACGTATACATACATCACTACAAGATCTACACGGGGGGAGTACCTCTTTTTACTCCCTATATAGGTGACTTTATTCCTCTATCCATATGCACAACTTATGAACAAGAATAGCTCGTTCATCATAAACTGATCAGTAATCCTTGCTGCAGATGCGTGGCATGGAACGCCTCTCTCGGCGCCAGGGGTTCACACCCTCTCGACATCGGGCTGCCGCCCCTCTGCGGCGACGAGAACCTCGACGTCGGCCTGCCGCTCCTCCTCGGCGACAGGTGCACCTCCTCCAGCGCCCGGTGCTGCAGCTCCGGCGGGTAGTCCCTGACGCAAATGATCCGGGGTCCGGCGCCGGTGGTCCACTTGAAGGACCCTTGCTTCCCCAGCTGATATGAGTTGGCCCTCCCAATGATCTTCTCCCTTGGCACCACCGCATGATCATCATCGCTGTCTTCCTCATGATCTTCAGGCATGGAAGTCGTTGATTTTTCGATGTTTACGGCGCCTTTCGATGAATCCAGCCTTGTGAACATCTCCAGTTGGCTATGATCTTTGCTTGTTTCTTGGAGTTGGATGACATTTTCAGGTGTGGTTTCAGTGACCTGAGGTGCCTGGCAAGGGATGTTTTCTGCAGCAGGAACCATTTCTTCTTCGGGTTTGTCGGCATCGGTGCACCGCTCCGAAGGGATGCTTCTGAGCCTGCTCCAGAACTCCTCATCCTCTTCAGTTGGGCTCATCTGCAATCATACAAAAAGAAAACTTGAGAAAATGCAAATTGGATAACTTTATTTTCACCACAGTTAGGGAAGTTTCTCATTCTATCCCAATCATCGGTCACAGGCATGGTTGCTCACCTTAACATCGCTGAGATCGACCTTGTTCTCTCTGAGGAAGTCCTGGAATTCCTGGAAGTTCTCTTCTGTGGGGCGGTAGTGCCCACTGTGAGGCCAGATAGCCTTCAGAACTCCATCTTCGACAACGAGTCGCCCCGCAGCAGACGCGGCGCCTCCGGCGAGAAAGCTAGAATGCTGAAATGTGCCCTTTTTCTTCTGCAGAAAGTAGAGTTTTGGACAAAGTTAGATGAAGTTCCAGTACACATAGGTGACAGGTCTAATGCTATGTTGTGTGTTGATAGTACTCTAATATGAAGCCTGAACATTACCTGCCCAACATACAGATTCCTGGATGTGCTCAGCACAAAGATCCACTTTGCGTCCCTCGGACCGCCGGAGGAGTCGAGGATCTGCCTGCTGTTCTTGTACATGAACTTGCCATCCTCGATCACAACCTCATATTCCTCTCTCTCTTTCTGCAGGCACAACAAAAATCCAGTTTGAATCATTAGTCCTTCTGAACTCTCATGGACTTGCATTCTCTAAATTTATCCCATGTACTAAACTGTTTGCAAAAGCTTACCGGACCAAGATACTTGATGCACTGGCTGAGAAGCTTCGACCGCGGGCATCGGTCCTCGAGGTTGATCTCCTTGCCCTCTCCGATGTCGAGCCTAAAGAACCAAACATGGTGATCATCAGTCCATAAGGTCATAACTTCATCATCTCTTGATCTGACCAAAGGTTCAGAAACTCCAACAACCACAATCAGTTGAGCTGTAGCACTCACCAGTAGAAGAAAGGCTCCCTGCTTTCGCACCTCAGCCAGCAGTCGTAGTAGTAGTGAAGGTTGTGCCCGTACCGGTGTCGCGGGTCGATCTGTTCATCAGAAAATTCAGCAGTGACATGAGCACATTGCTTGGCAAAAACACGAAAGTTAACTGAACATTCTGCAGTTTCTCTGACAAAAGTACTCACAGCTTCAAGCCAGTGCTGCAATGCGAGCTTCCGAGCCTTCTCATCCTTGGAGAGCCCCTTGCCGACCTGAAATCACGCGAACTATGAGTCCAATTTCACGAATGGAGATGGCATCGGAGAGATTTCTTGAAGAACAACTGATGCATTTCATGAGAGAACAACGTACTTTGGCGGCCCTGGTCCTGGCGCGCGCCCACTTGGACACGGCGGTCTCCTGCCGCTCGATGTCGAAGAAGGAGACGGAGCTGCGCTTGAGCAGCGCGAAGTCCAGCAGCTCCCACCAGTTCTGCTCCACGAGCACGGCGCAGTCGGCCAGCCGGCGCCGCGTCCGGAAGCTCTTGTACACCTTCTGCAGCGTCACCGCCGCGGCCTCGTGCTTGGGGCTCTCCGGCTGCGCCGCCGCCGTAACCGCCGCGTCGGCGAACCGCGTCCGGAGGAGCTCCCTCGGCATCGGCACCGGCACGGGCACCGGCGCGGTGACGGCGATGGGGATCTTGGGCTCCACCAGCTGGAGCCGCTTGAAGCTGAGGGAGCCCTCGATCCGGAGCTTGCCGGAGCCGAGCGAGGCCTTGAGGAACGTCGCCTGCTGCTCCTCCTCCGCCGCCGCGACGAGGCCGCCGCATTCGCCGTCGTCCTCCACGGGACACGAGAAGAGCACGCCCATCTCGCTCAAAGCAGAGCAACACCAACCGAGCCTCGCGATTTCTCCTCGTGCCGATCCTGTTTGAGCCCGCTGGATCCCACCTCGAGGCCGATGGATCAACCGGAGAGAGTGCAGTAGAGCTGTGGTATGTATGTATTTCTTGGTGCGAGCGAGCGACAACTACCGGGGTGGCTGCTTGAGCCACTGGGCGAATATATAGCGGGAGGAGACCGAGTAGACCGGGATGGCCAGCGGTGAGGGTGGGCCACCGTCGGATGCGGAAAAGCGTCGCGCCGGACCGCCGGGAGCCCGCTCCGGCGTACCACGTGTTCACGGGGGATGTCACGCGGGACGCCAGAGGCGCGGGTGCGCGTGCTGACCTGTCTCGGCGGACGGGAAGCGTGTCCCGGGACCGGTGAGCTGCCTTGGAGCGCTCTGCTTGACTGACTGACTGACTGACTGCGTGTGATTTCACCGCCGTGTAACCGTGTCCATCAAAAAATAAGACGTGAAATTCACACTGAACAGTCTTTTTTTTTCCTTTTTAATGTTGACGGAAGAGCCGCTAAATCCATTTAAACAGGAGGGCCGAGACCAACCGAGGCTCGCGATTTCTCACCGAGGAGGAATGCCGAGTGCCAAAAAAGGAAAGGGAAGATGGCTCCTCGGTTTATATTGAGAAAAACCACACAAAAATCTACATATCGTCTTGCTAGACTAGGCCTAAGGGTACCACAATACATACAAAACGCTAGAAGCCAATACCCGACGACACACCCTGTCGAGCACTCGAACGTTTTCGTTGCTGTCAGACTGCACACCGAAAACCGCCGTGTTAATACGGATTGCTACGAATTCAAATTTGATGGTAGCCTAAGACAGTGTGACTTAGCAATTGCTAAACCAACTTTAATAATGATTATTGACGGTGTTGAAAACACAATCAATCTGATAACGAAGATAATCCCTGCATGCAACAAAAGAACAAGCAAGAATTAAAAATATACAATTTGAGTTGTATATGTAAGTTTTTTAGGGTCATTACAGATATAAATTGAAGTGCTTGATTAACACAGCGGGGCACTGAAGATAGTAGTACACGAGGTCTCCCTGATTCTCATGTCTATGGCAAGAGTAGCAAACACTAAAACTCAATCAAACAAAAACTCGAAGAAACGCTACGAGGTTGATCTATCTATGTAGAACCAAGAGGTGGACGTATGTCCCAAATGAGCGAAACACAACTCTAGGCCTTACAAGGCCCATGGGCGCAAGTGAAGGTGGCATTAAATTTAGTTTCTGCATCGAGATTGAAATGTTACAACATTTGGAAGGAATTTTTAGGTGTTCTGGATCCGCTGGAAAGTATATGAGATAAGCTTTCCAAAAAGTCCAAAATCACTCAATTTGGATTCCGGTTATAAAAGACAATGTCATTCCTAGTCAGGTATATCTCGATAGTCTGAATTTGAGTCCAACACCTAGCGACTCTATCTATAGCTTCTACTGGGTCCAAATTGATGTGAGAGAACTTCTTGTCATGACCTAATCATGCTCTTTTGCTTGACAACTTTTTTTGAACATGCTTGACAATCATTTCTTGATCATGTGTGGAGAAAGTAGTGGTAGTTATGGTTATATCAGGGGTTGTGATATCCCCACTTAGTGTGGGTACCCTTGATGATAGTGTTAGTTGTGTTTTCGTAGGAGACTCTCTAGTGGACATCTAGATCTTCACCGGCAATATGGCAACAAAGCAATGATTTGAAAACTTCTCTCACAAGGGGTATGATCAATGATTTTACATTCTCACTTTATTGGGGTAGGTAACTCATGCAAGTCTTAATTTTTTTTGAGTAAGTTTAACTTTGTGTATGGTTTATGTTATGTAAATTTCTTTTTTCTAAGTCATGGTAGAACATTTAGACGCAAATTAACAGTGAAACTGGAGATGACGACTTTGAAAAACCTTGATGCATCATGAACAGATGTCGTTGACTTTCGTTTTGCTTCAGTTTGTTTGAGTTGATGTAGTTTGTTTAATAAATCAATAAAGTTGAATTATTTGCTACAAGAGGAAAATTTGACGATAGTATGGCCCCCTCTAATCTGTCCTCCTTGGTGTATTTTATCTATGTTGCAAATTTGTTTCGGGCCCCTGTACATGTAGGTGGGTGAAAGTTTGGTGACAATTTGGAAAAAGAAGACTATACAGCCCCATAAATTGCAACACCCTTAGACTCCAATACTGCATGGAAAATTGAAATGTTTTCTCTCTATATTATTTCCAACTTCCTTATGTGAAGCTATTGAATGCTTTCGGAATCCTTCCAAAATTAGCGCCTCTTTGATTCGTGGGATTTTCAAAACGTAGGAATAGAAAGAACATATGAATGGAGTGGCACATAGTCTTCAATCCTGTATGATAAGTATGTACGTTTGATTGTACATAATGTAGGATTCTTCATACGATGTGGGGGTGGATGGAAATCTTTCTATGAAAATTAGTACAAACGAATCCCAAGGAAAAAGTTATATGGATTTTAGACCCGCGAATCAAACAACCCATGTATGAAAAAATTACAAGAATTAGAGTCCTACAAATTTTCTTTATAAATCGTATGAACCGAAGAGGCCCTAGGCCGTTTTATATACGTAGAACTCCTGCAAAACAAAGAGACCTAATGCTTATGAAGCTCGACTATAGCACGAGCCTGTTTTGATTATCCGAATGGGTGTGGCTAGATCTCAGTGGATTGAGACTGAACTAAGTCTCAGTCAAGTGACACAATATGTTAAAAGAATAAGAAAGATTTTCTTTTTTGCAGAGATCTCCACGTAAGGCCTCATGAATATAGGATCGACTGAGACTTCGTTAAATCTCGGTCGACTGAGACTTAGCAATCATGTATCCGAATTCTCCACCAAATTTCATGCTTGT